CCTCATTTAGAGGTGGCCTGTGGCGGAAGTTGGTACCCTGGAATTGGCCAGGACCAGTAAGTATGCCCTTGTGGGTGACTGTGTGGGAGTAGACCCTGGGTACCACTACCCTCCCTCCATGTTCTGGGTGCCTGACTAGCATTGAGTGTCCCCTTTCATGCTGGGGTTCCCTCCTTGCCTTGTGTGTTGGGCTTCAGCTGATTGATTTGACAGCAACCCCCACCTCTTCCTGTTGCCTATAACTACCACTCCATCGAGGGAGCATTGTCCCATCTCACACAAGCAGACATGCCCCCTCCCTCCTCCAGCTGGGAAACATGGCCATCATGTAGGTGTGCAGGGTGTGTTTTTTTCTTGCGGCTGTGTGTTTGGCTGATTGTATGCCTCAGTTACAGTCATGGGGAGGAGGACACAGGCTGAGATGTTGGGGGGCCATGGCCACTCGCGGTCCTGTGTGTGGCCGCTTTGTGAGTGCTGTGGGCAGCCGGGAGTAGGATGGACGTCTGGCACGGCTCTTTGGCAAGTCCCTGGGGGTGGAGTCCTATAGCATCGGACATGTCTGTTGCCGGGAGAGCTGGGTGTCCCGGTGCAGCAGACTCCAGGGGGTCAGGTGCGGCCTCTGGCTGCATTGTCTGTGGGGGGGGCTTCTATTGATTCTGAGGTGAGGTCTGTCTGTACCTCATGCGATTTGTTGGCATCCCCTTCAGGTTCCTCTCCTACGGTCCTGGGACCCTCTGTCTCTATGTACGCACTCGCCTCCATGTTGGAGGGTTTTGCTTCACGTGTGGAACAGGCGTTAACCTACAGGCAGGGTAAGAAGCACCCCCTCCTTCCCCATTGCTCTCTGAATCTTCTGATGAGGAGGACAAAATCCCTGCAGCTTTGGACCAGTGGTGTTTCTTGGCCCATTTGGCAGTAAAGATGAAGCTTCATCTTTTTCCCTGGAGAAAGAATTAGTCTATGCACTTATCAAGTCTGTGCGTGATACTTTCAAGATCTAAGATTCTGTAGGTACTCTGTTGGAGTCTCCGGTTCCTTTTAGTACGCATAGGTGGAGACATTTGACTTAAGTGTTTCCTTATCACACCTTTTTTTATTTCATTTATAAAGAGTGGGGGCTCCTTTGCAGGATTTTGTCCTGCCCAAGCGTTTTTCTGTTCGCTACCATTTGAGGAGGGTTTCCTGAAAAAGTTGACATCTTCCTCAGTCGTGGACCCCCAGTGTCACGTCAGAACAAGGCGACCATGATTTCAGTGGAGGTGTCACCCTCCTTCAAAGATTCGACAGACAGGAAAGCGGAATTCGTAGCGAGATCTATGTGTAGTGTAGCTGGATTTGGTTTGGTTCTATGGCCTGTTTTGGCCACCGCTTCGGTGTCCGAGATGCGCACTGAATGGGCGAAGCTCTTGTGCCAGGGTCTAGAAGGTGAATGGGTGTCGTCTGTTTATGTACAACTGGATGATCAACTAATCCATGGTCTCCAATATGCCTCTAATGCATCACTGGATAATGGACCCTTACTGTCTAAACTGTTGTTGTCTGCGGTTGTCCGTCGCTGCCTTCTGTGGCTCAAGTGCTGGGCTGCTGACCAGACTTCTAGGAAGGCACTGACGGTCCTGACCTTTTAAGGGGCACTGCTTGTTTGGAGCAACTCTGGATGATCTCAGAAATTGTACTGGGGCAAGAGTACCTACTTACCCCAGCTTAAGAAGGGTAAGGAGCCTCGGCGTAAGCAGGGTCATTCTTTTTCCGAGTTACAAATGCCTTGTCCCCAAAGTGCCTCAGATAAGGGCCAAAAATCTGCCAAATCCTCCTTCTCCAGTGGGCCGAAGAGATCTTGGCAGCCTAAGTCCTCCAAGACCGCTGAGAAGTCTCCCTCTGGATGAAGGTTCACCCCACCTGTTCAAATCTCTTTCCTCTCCTCCAGCCCGGGTTTTCCCCCTCCAATCTTTGCCTGTCTCCAGAGCGTATGCACAATCTCTGGTTGGCGGTACAGGGTCTGCTTCAACTGGGGGTTATTGTTTTCCGGTGCCCCACCGGAAAAGATCAAGGGCTTTTATTCAAATCTTTACTGTTCCCAAGAAGTATGGCGTTAGACTGATCCTGGATCTCAAGGCGCTCTGTGCCTTTGTCAGGGTTTGGAAGTTCAAAATTGAGTCCATGCATTCAGTTATGGCTTCTCTCCACCAGGGGAATTTTCTGGCTTTGATATCTGCATGTTCCAATTTCTCCTGCGCACCAACACTTCCTGCACACATAAATGCAAGTGCCGTTAGTCAATAAAAAGCACGGCACTGTAATAGTTAATAAACATGTGTACGATTAGGAGGTGATTTTTAACCAAGTGCTTCTAGGTGTCTCAGTGTATAAAAATAAAGTGGATCAGTCTATACACATTAAAAAAGTCCTTCACTTCTTTATACCTTCATGTGCATTAATACCATTAAGTGACAAATCATATATGTGAAAAAATTCAGGTGGGTAAACAAAAATACAAACGAAAATAATTGTGAATGACAATTCATTGTGCTGACAAAAAAATGTATATAAACAAATAGTCTCTGTAATATACAGCTCCGCTTCAAAGCCAAATAGCAGAGCCTTCCAATGTTCGGTAGAGTAGTGCTTTCCTGGGGTTTGAGTTCGTCAAAGCCTTTCTGTTGTGGTGGCTCAGCTCCCTGATGCTGTTGAATGGGAGGCTGTTTCTCCTGGTGCACTGACTGCAATGACGGACACCAGGATGAGTGGATGGGGTGAAGTGATCCGAGAGTGGTCAGTACAAGGCCCTTGGACAAGGGAGGGTCCGGGTTACAGATCAATGTCCTGGAGTTACGAGTGAACAGGCTTTGCCTCCTTCATTGGATGGATCTTCTGTGTGGGCATCTTGTCAGAGTTCAGTCAAACAACACCACGGCTGTGGCATATGTCAATCATCAGGGAGGCACGAGGAGTCTGGCTGCGGAGCTCGAGGTGTCTCGTATACTTCACTTGGTGGAAAGTCATATCCCGCCTTTGTCCGTGGTCTACATTCCAGGCGTAGACAATTATTGGCAGGCGTAGACATTGGCAGGGCCTGAATCAAGGGGAATGGCCCCTTCATCCTCAGGTGTTTTAGCAGATCTGTGAGAGGTGGGGGACTCCGGATGTGGATCTTCTGGCCTCCCATCTGAATCAAAAGCAGTTTGTGTCCAGGGCAATGTATCCCTGGGCGGACACTCTGGTGGCACCGTGGGACAGGTAAAAACTAATTTATGCATTTCCTCCTTTGAAGCTTCTCCCACGGCTTCTATGTCATGTGGAAGTTTAGAGGATCCCAGTTCTTCTGGTGGCTCTGGATTGGCCTTGTTATCCTTGGTATGCAGACATGGTGCACCTTTTGTCGCAAGGTCCAATTTTCCATCCTTTTTTTTTTTACTGTTGCTGGCTTTAATGGCGTGGCTATTGAAAGCCAGGTGTTGAGAGAGAGTGGGTTGTTGAAGTTTGTGATTCCTACTATGCTTAAGGCACGTAAGTCTACCTCTCGGAAGATATATCATTGCACTTGGAAGGCTTATATTTCATGGTGTGAGTCGCTTCTTAAGTCTCCGTGTGCCTTTTCTGTGCTTAGGATTTTGGCCTTCCTTTAAAGGGGAGTGGATCAGCGGCTGGCTCTTTATACTATCAAGGGTCAGGTTTTCGCATTGGCTGTCTTTTTTCAATGCTCATTGGCTTCACACTCCCTGGTTCGTGCCTTTTTATCCAGTGGGAGTCGCATGTCTCTTCTCCAGTCAGAACACCATTGTCTCCATGGAACTTGAATGCCTGAGTGCATTTGGTTTTACAGAGTCCTCCCTTTAAAAATATTTGTGAATTGTCCATGTTGACTTTGTCTCAGAAAGTGGCTTTCTTCTGGTTCTTAGATTGCAATCTTCTTTTCTGCCTAAGGTGGTGTCTGCGTTTCACCTAAATGAGGATATTGTCCTTCCTTCCCTTTTCCTCATCTGACACATCCCGAAGAGATAGTGCTCCATTTCCTGGATGTGGTTAGGGCAGTGCAAGTTTATCTTTCTGCAACTCAATTTTATTGTAAGACTGATTACCTTTTTGTTGTCACTGAGGGTCCCCTGAAGGGGCAAGCAGCCTCTGCAGCCACCATTTCGCAATTGATTAGGCAGATTATTGTTCAGGATTATGCCCTTAGGGGCCAGTCTCCACCCTTTCAGTTATGGCCCATTCCAGTAGAGCGGTTAGCACTTGCTGGGCATTTCGTCATCGGGTTTCTGTTATGCAAGTTTGTAAGGCGGCCACCTGGTCATCAGTGCACACCTTTACTTGTTTTTATAAAGTTGATATAGTAAGAGATGAAGATGTCAGCTGTGTCCTTCAATGAACAGAAGAGAAAATAGGATTTTTTGTGCTCAAAGTAAAATCCTTTTCTATGTGTTCATTGAAGGACACAGCTCCCTCCCCTCTTAAGATTGTCTGTGCCTCTGTTCTACTGCTTAGTGAATTACTGAGCTGCCTCTAGCAGATAGGGGTTGGGCCACCAGCAAGTGCTGACCCCTGGGCTGTGCTTTGTTCTGCCGTGTCCTACTCCTGCAGGTGGCGGTATAACCCATCAGTACAAAATGAAGATGTTAGCTGTGCCCTTCAATTAATGTACAGAACAGTATTTTACAGTGAATACAAATAATCCTATTTTTATGTTGTTGGCATTGTGCAAATTACCCAAAATGTGTATTATACATACATATATAGGTTGGGCAGGATTCTACATCGTGCTACGCTTTTTCATCTTTTTGGTCCTCCTGTAGTGAGATCCTCATCTTATATCCAGATGTCTTACCAACTAGTTTTAAAATTAAATGGAGCTGTTTCTGTCATTGGCCTAAGTATTCTTCCATATTCTAAGAGAATTAATGAAAGGACACCAAAATACTGCATCATCCAGTGAGTTTCCCTTTGGAACAACTGAAAGCTGCCCCTGTGGTAGGAGGTACCAGGATCAACATCTGGGAATCAAACCCTGCTTCCCCAAACTCTGAATGGAATAGTTTATGCTTTTAATGTTATTTATTCAGAGTTTCATGAACATGTTTATAGCCACTTGATGCCAAAGCTTCTGTTCTGTCAGTCAGCACATTTGCTCTACAGCAGCTATGAATACTTCAAGCTTATAATGAGCCAAGTGAAATGTATTGTGTAATGTCAGATAGACCAGTTTTACTTGCAACTTTTAAAGAAACTCCATTGACAGATTTGCTCTTAAACTTTATGATGGCAGAATAAAGCATACATGGCTTGATTTTTCCCAAAAAATCAATACATACCTCCTTCCACAATAAACAGCGTGGATGGGGTACCTGCCACCTATTGTATTGTATCAGCACTCGTAACTGAATACCTGAACATTGACTGGATACAGTCACTGTTCAGCCAACAAATTTCCACCCAGCTCCTTTATTTTTAAAATTCATGTTTGTTGAGCCAGGTGGGACTAACATTCCTGCTGAATCGGCCAAAATGTGAACCGTGTATATAAGGGCTTGTGAATCCAGGCGTTAAAGTGACACCAAACTCAGACGTTAAACCTTAAAAATGCATTTAAGTACCCTATTAAAAATTGAGCTTATTTGTGTATCAGTAGCTGTAGATCATCAAATCATCTCTGAATTCATGCTGACATTGTCTTTCCTTATGGAGAGTGACCACCTTTGTTCTCCATGGTCCCTGTATGTGTTGTAAAGTAGCTACTGCCCCAAGCTCACTCCCATGATGGACTATAATTTCAATACAAATCAGTAAATTAAATGTGAGATTATAGTCCATCACAGGAGTGAGTTTGGAGCTGTGGCTACTTTACAACACAAGGACAAGAACCATGGAGAACAAAAGTAGCCACTCCCCAGAAGGAAGGGCAGTGTCCACATGAATTCAGAGATGATTTGAGAATCTGCAGCAAGAGTGATGTACAAATAAGGTACATTTTTGTTAATAAGTAAGGTACTTGAATGCATTTTTAAGATTTCACTTCTGAGTTTAGTCTCACTTTAATTCCAAGTGGGAATTCACAAGCTGCTAGATAAAACGGAAGAGGTCCAAAGCAGGTTGGAAAGAGGTTAACAGCCCATCCTGAAGGAACATAGGATTTCAGAAGCTGCATTTGCACATCTCTATAAACCCTAAGTGTTTGGATTATAGTCAAGTGTACAGTCAAATGTTTCTATTTTTTCCCCCAGCATGGTTCATTATTTGAATCCAGAATACAAGCTGATCACTGCAAGAAAAGCAACACTTATTGTGGAACTTACAAAGTAAGGATATTTTTTGTTTAATATTTCTAATGCAATTCTGCAAGGTTTGCAGGGTAAGGTGTTGCCAATGTGTTGCCAGATTCATTAAAGTAAATTGGTGAGGCTGCCATTCAAGACTTGCTTTTAACAGGAGCAGGCTCCATGATCGGTCAAAACTTGCATTAGTGACTGGCCTAATGCAAGTTGTAAGGATGGGCATTAAAGTAAATGTAAACCATAACTGAATGGCATTTAGTTCAAGCACTATCATAAACCGCAAGGGTAGTGAATCAGGATGACAGTTCCGCAGCCTGCACCTTTTTAAAGACAAAGTAAGCAATGGTAATTCCATATTTCTTAAGTTCCCATAAAGGCCATCTAAACTACAGTTTACCCTTTTGCTGCCAGAACCTTCTCTCCACTTTTAACCTTAGGTGACTAGACCATTTTTGCAGTTTTTCACTTTTAAAAATCAAAAATATATTTTTAATACATCGAGATCATGTAAAAGAAATAAAACTATATTGAGTTAAAAAAATATTTGTAAGTTTTAGATTTGTGCCTTTTTGGAAAGCAATAAACATCAAAAAAGCACCTTATGTTTAAAATATGGAGATTGACGTCACACCTATATGTTGCAGTAATACCCAATTCACAATTCCGTGTGTGAGTTGCATTTTTTTATTACAAGGCAACACGTTACCACACCCAGCAACATATTGCAATAAGCTGCTGTGACAGGGAAAACAAAATTCAGAGGTTTTAATAACGATGACTGCTAAAGCTGAATTGAAAAAGTAAATGTATTTATTGTACAAGCATGCAGGGAGAAAAATACAACATACTATTGAACTCAAAATTGCTGTAACTGGCTGGACTGTTCTAATACAATATAAGTATGTAT